GCAATAAAATAAAAACCAATACATTATTCACAAATTCATTCTTTACCCTTAATCATTCTCACCGGGCCATACACGAAACTACTGCCATCCTCTCACCCTCCACCACCCCATCTATTCTTAAACACAAACGATTCCCCCCCCCCCCTTCACTCCTAAGAACAACAAACGGGCTCATCTCTCGATCAGGATTCCCACCCCTCCCTTCATTCGCTCCGAATACATCAAAAACACACTGTACCCATCCACCTCCAATTCCCTTCCCAGCTTGAAATTTAATGTTCCTGCACAAAAACAATGTCTATAGCATAACACCTTAAAAATCCCTTTACCCACAGATGCTTCTCACTCGCACACAATCCATTAATATTCACTGTCATGCACTGGAAACCTACTTATGTGATTTCACCCTCTCCCCCATTTTACCTTTCACTGACATGTTTCCAGTGTGTCTGCTTCTTCCACTTTCTCTCCACTGCCCACTTGTTTTTCCCCCTGATCCAACACCGGACCAGGCATACCTTTAGAGCTCCCACGCACCACATCAACCCACGGCTTTTTCCCCCGGTCTCTGTGCCGGGGTCAAAACATCATCCAAGTTGGAATATGTCGCCGCCCTCTTACGGTTGACACTCTCCGCATCCATTTCCAACTCACTGGATGCCTCCCTGTGAATCTCAGCATTCACCTCAATCACTTCCACCACTCCTGGCGAATCATCTGCATTGTTTGCCAATCTTCCAAGTTGCTCATCTTCAATCTGAACAGGACTCCTCACCATCCTCAAGTTATCCTCAGAAACCTTCTCAAAGGATTTTTCCTTCACGTTCACCAGTAGGCCTCCCTCTACCCGCACTTCACCACTCTGCACAGTCTTCCCGGTCTCCAAGGCAGATGCCTCACATCCCACTAACTGACAGTGACGGGCTGGTACCCACCAGTGGCAGCTTATGCTCCACTTCCTCACTCCAGGAAGTGCCACTTCTATGTACAGGTGACTCATCAGCATGACCCATTTCCGGTTCTGGCTCTTTCACCATCTCACTACCTAGTTCCTTCTCCGCTGCCATCTCCCACACTGGCCGCCCATATGGCCATATGCACCACATAACCTACACGTCTTCTGCTGCCCAGCGTAGTACAAAAAAAACCATTACCTGCGTCCTAAATGCATCCAGTATGACGCAAGACGGGATGGAATGCCTCAACGTCATCTTGAGCATGAACGTACCATCCGGCAAGCCGGCATACGCCCCATCCGTCCATTTACCAGCCATAGCCAGGTGAACAGTTTCCATACTTTTTCAAATACATTCCGCAGGTCATCTCGTCCCGCCTCAAATGGCACATTTCGGACTTTCACCCATGTGTAATGCCTAGACACGTCGATGAGTCGAACACGCATCGCTGAATTAACGTCCACACTCCCGTCCTGGTACTTGTCAACCAGCCATTCATACACTCCAGCTGACCTCAAGTTGACGAAAATACGATAGGCACCATTTAGCGCCACACCATACAGTTCTTGATCTGCAACACCATAGGTGTCACGGATAATTTGCGGTAAAAGCACTTGCGCAGACTAAGGCGTTATTGCACCACACACCAATTCAAGGCACACCGTGTGCACATGCCTTCTCACAGACTGCGCCATGTTGTGAAAATATAAGTCTCCTCCAATGGCCAGCAGAGGGCAGTAGTCACACGTCCGCACTCTGCTCAGGTCAAGCGGCGAATGATTACATAGAATTTTTTTATATTTGATTTAAAACCAATACAGCATTACATATATAAATAAACAATAAAGAAAACATCTGAAATCACAAAACCTGAAACTCATTACTGTTACAATAACCCCTATACTAAATCCGACACAAAGAATACGTCTTAACACTCGCTACAACCTACATGTAGACAATCACAGTGAAAACAACCCCATCAATATACATGTTATAAATCAACAGTTCTAGTAATTTTAGTTCATTACTATTTTACAACAACCTTTTGTAATCTAGCCAAAAACTTACATCAAGAAACTACACTTAACAGCAACACAATACCAGGTTTATAACCTATTATATAAACGTGAAATGAAAACAAACCATCATACATAAAGATTTATCACAAAACTAACACACCTATCACATATACATACAAACCCAGAAATAATAACTCATCATGGCTCGAAAAAAAGGAAATTACTCAAGAATTGTGTCAATAAGACCAAAATATGCGTCCAAAAATACAGAATCAAAAACCTTCGATTACATCTAACATTCATATCGAGCCCATGGGCTCCACATCCACACGTGGCATGAAAAAGTATGATTACCAATAGTGACGTTATAAGTTTGTCTTGTTCCCTCCCCCCACACGCATACCGCTTTACCATAATAAAAGAAGCACAATATATACTGACGCTACAACACACGGCAAACCTCATACCCAATACTCTCATGACCTACACACCATAAGCACCATGTCTCTCTAACATATAAGAGGTGCTCCAGTCATGCTCTCACACACTAGCACCCCCCCGGGGAGACCAGCCCCCGCATCCCCTGACCCCCTCCCCTCCTACATCCCCAAGAGAACCCCCACCGTTAAACCACGATAGCTTACAGGGAAATCCCTCTCCCACCTTATCCCATAAAGAACCCGATTCCGACACAGCGTACGATAAAAGGTTGCAGCCAATACTCTTTTACGCACCCCCTCCCTCCACCTGACCCCTCATTGCCCACGACACATACACAAAATCCACAATAAGGTAACCAAGTGCCCGCTGCACAGGGATTCCCACCCCTCCCACATCTAAACTTAAGAGCCCACAAGACCGAAATCCCCCCCCCCTCCCACCCATCGTACCACTCTCCCCATCCACTTTCGCACTTCCCCAAATCGTTCTGAGAAATAGACTGCATGAAAGGCTGTATCCTCACCCCCACAAACCCCACAGACGCCCTCCTCACGAATCCTCCTGTCTCGAAGAACCGCACCTGATGGCAGGATACCATGCAGGAACCGGAACATCACCTCCCACTCCCGCGGCCGGATGCGTAGCCTACACAACCTTTCCCAAATATCCCCCCATGCATACATTGGATACACTCCTTCCACAGTCGCCACTTCCCTTTCCCCCACCACTTTCTCGAAAACCCCCACCCTCATGTGTGTCGTATCCTTAACATACAAGAGCACCCGCAACATGTCCTCACACACACGCAAATCCTTCCCTCCCCACCATCTTCTGACATCCTCATACAAAAGGTGCAACCCACCACCTTTACACCCCCCCCACTCGGAGAAACCCCCTCTTTACATATACACTCATAATCCTACTCTTTAAATTAATTAACCCCAGCCCGCCTCTGCGCACTAGGAGAGTTACAACCCCCCTCCGTAACCAATCACATCACGACCCCCAAATAAACCTAAAGACTCTCCTTAATAATGCCGCAATATCTGATTGCAACAAAGGGTACATAGCGACTACATGCCAAATTTTACTATATAGTAAGATGTTTACTACAATAACCCTCTGATGAAGCGTTAAATGTCCCAGCCGCAACCCATCCAACCGTCTATTCACCCTTTCCACGACACTCCCAGAATTAACCATCCTAGCCTGCTGTACATCCTGCATATACTCAATCCCACAAATCTTAACCCGATTCACAACACCCCACCTCCCACTACCCTCTCCCCCCACCTTCCCCTCCCAATCCCCCAACCCCATAAACTTCGATTTCTCTACATTCACCCTCATACCAGTCGCCTCTCCAAACAGGTCCACAATCCTCCCCACCCCTCATTACATAGAATTATCATACATAGCAGCATATGTGTAGAGAACGTTCAGTGGGAGAGAATTGGCAGGAAAACCAGTAAAAGAAATGATGGACTATGTGACAACAAAATGCAAGGAGGCAGAGAAGAGGTTTGTTCAAAATTAAGCACTAAAACCACAAGAGATGTCATATACGTAAGCCCAACATCAAGGAGACTTGTTTTCAACACGAGTCCATGGACATTGTTCATTAGAATTACGAGTGTGTGACAAACGAGTGTCTTTGGGCTAATGTCCAGGGAGTTTTAAATATTAAGGTTCAAGCTTCGTTAACACAGTAATAAGACTGTGTTAGTCTCTTAATGATTACCAAGTGACAACCATCCCCCCCTCCCAATTACCCTCCCACCAGTAACAACTAACTACTCTACACCAGCAGCCAACCCCCGACCCTTCCCCTAACTACCTTCCCCCTCCCCACAAACAACCACTGACGTCATCACCCCACCTCCTCCAGGTCAACGGAGCCATTTAGCCATGGAGGTCAAGAATAGTGGCGCCACTAGTCACTCCTCTGCCATCCACCACACCATCAACACCTCCAGCTCTTGCAGTTCCAACAACCTGTGGTAATTTAAAAAAACTTTGATTATTCCAATTTCATGGTAATTTTTTATAGATCAGCTTTGAAAATATTTTAATTTTTCTTTCTACAAAATGTTGAAGGAAGCATTTTAAATACATAGTAAGACTTCAAAATATTGCTTTCTGCAGTTCATGAATAATCTAGTAATGTCATACTTTTATCTTTGCAGACATTTTGGCGTGTTGCTGGTAGTGATGACATCTCTGAAGACTTGCAGCTGCCCACGACACGGACTTCACCACACAGCAGCTGCCCACGACACGGACTTCACCACACAGCAGCTGCCCACGACACGGACTTCACCACACAGCAGCTGCCCACGACACGGACTTCACCACACAGCAGCTGCCCACGACACGGACTTCACCACACAGCAGCTGCCCACGACACGGACTTCACCACACAGCAGCTGCCCACGACACGGACTTCACCACACAGCAGCTGCCCACGACACGGACTTCACCACACAGCAGCTGCCCACGACACGGACTTCACCACACAGCAGCTGCCCACGACACGGACTTCACCACACAGCAGCTGCCCACGACACGGACTTCACCACACAGCAGCTGCCCACGACACGACTTCACACACAGCAGCTGCCCACGACACGGACTTCACCACACAGCAGCTGCCCACGACACGGACTTCACCACACAGCAGCTGCCCACGACACGGACTTCACCACACAGCAGCTGCCCACGACACGGACTTCACCACACAGCAGCTGCCCACGACACGGACTTCACCACACAGCAGCTGCCCACGACACGGACTTCACCACACAGCAGCTGCCCACGACACCGAGAATATCTTCAACCTACAAGATTCGATAAACTTCGACATTTTAATTGATGTAATTATATTTTCTTTCACAAAAAAATGTTCAAGGAACACTAAAATATAAAAGATATAACAGCCAAGCCTCAACTGCTGTATTTGTCAGCAAGGACATTCACACAAATCGGGAGCTCAAAGCTCGGGAAAAAAAAAAAATACACCTGCCCCCAACCCTACTAACAATAGTAGTAATGAGGCGGACAGCCTCACTACTGCCATTATTAGTAGCTTGAGGTATGATATATTTTTAAATTTCATGACCTTGTATTGTCAGGAAGGTAACACTTGTGTTGCGACACAATAGCTAGTCATCAGTTCTTGTCTCCAGTGTTCTGACAAGGAGAGAATTGTGGCAATTAAAGAAGTTGGAGGGTAAAATTCCGTAACATACATTACAACCTAGCCAAACCTACTCCTAATATCCCATAATTAATTATGGACGTGTAACTGGAAAAATATATTTAAAAAAAAAACTTTTCATCAACTACTCTATCGACTTGGGGGAGAGGTAAACTCTCGGGGAACAATTCAAACTATTTTACATGTGCACATTTTACCCAAACAATTTCCCGTAAATATGGATAATAGATCTGAATAGGGGTTATACACAGCGTGGAGAATGTTAGGCAATCAGGTTTGATCCAAGGAAGGGGGAGGGTACTTGCAACTGCTTGTTATCAAGATACCTTCACTGTACTAAAGACACCTCTTGAAGGACTTCCAAATTTAACAGGATCCTAACTACCTTCATTAAGACAACAAACCTAACCAGTTATAATTGACAGTGTAACTCATAGGCCTACCGTATACCAGTTTCCCAATACACAATCCTGAATTCATAACCTACCTTACCTGCCAGTTATGGCTGGCATCCTAGGCACAACCAGAGGACCACTACATTCAAGCCCCTCCACTCTCTCTACCTCTATTTTTCTGGGTTTCTAACCCAGCAGGGTTAATAATCCTATTCCCAGTAATACCAATCTAAATACTTCCCCCCCTAACTATACTCATCAGCATCAGATGTTAGTGAATTCTTTCTGCCAACACTTCACTTCAGATCACAGAGGTTTTCATTATTTCTATCATTACGTCTGCTGCAAGAAGCGTTACTTACTCTTACAAACCATACCACAGGTGGGATTTGAACCCGCGGTTTGTTTGCAATCGTGTCATTACGATTTCGTGAGTCAAGTTACTCTTACAAACTATCAAACCAACTGCAATTCTGAACGCTAATACTTTTATATTCATAGAAACCTGAATGCCGCTTAAATTTTACAAATGATGAAATTGTGTAAACTCAATGAATCCATATTTAACTTCGCACAGTTTGGCCAAAGGCATAAAAAACGTAGAACACCCACCACAACCACTACCCAAAGCCCGAAACCCACCAACATCCCCACGGAAACCACGAGCAATAACAGATTGCAGACAGCTACTGAAGGTCGTTGGTGGGTTCCCAGGCCCACAGTTCTACGTAATCTATGCCTTCAGGGGAGATTACTCTCCCCTGCTATATGCATTCATAATGCATATAGCAGATTCTCCAGTTCTATACCTTACCTATCCTACTTAACCCCACCTAATTCTACAAGTTATTTGATAGAAACTAAATTGTAGATCTACAAAGTGTTATACATATACACCACAACTATGCAGCATACTCAAGGTACAGGCCTTACTAATTTGCAGAGCAGCGGCGGCACAAGGGGGAATGAAGGGAGGTAAAGGTAAGATCAAGGGGGGTCTAAGTAAAATCAAGGGGGGTCTAGGTAAGATCAAGGGGGTCTACAAAGTCTAAATATATATACTGTATAACCCAATTTCAAAACAAATGACCCCCCCCCGTCAGACGCTCTAATACTGACGAATTGTGAGCGCTAAACCCACAAGTCTATACTAAAAATATTTTTGGGACTTCAAAACAAAATTACTTGTCCAGGTCCTCTACAACCCTACTGGAAATGGGAAGATGTGGTTAATTCCACATTTCTGAGGAAGTGTTATTGATTTTTCCGGCTATAATATATTCTGCCTAAGGAAAATTTATCCTGTCATGTGAAGCTAAAACTCTGGATGTATAGTTTTAAAAATAGGTTAGACAAATTAGTGGTTGAGAGTTGGACCTGCCTAACATGGGCCAAGAGGCCTGCTTCAGTGCTCCTTTCTTACGTCTTAATAATGTGGAATTAATGATTTAATAGGCTTTCGTTACATCCGGCATCAAGACCTCTACCATTACCCTCACCACACTAAACTCTCAGTATAATTATTAACGCGGCAGATTAACACAGAATTGCACGATCAAGTCAGGATAACATCATGACATTTTTATTAGGGTATTTATACTCCCCCAGGATGCGACTCTTACCATTTCATCTGTTTCCTACAATCTTGCGGGATGGGTATAGACTGCATAATAAAAGATAATACACTACCTAAAACTTCCTAAAATCTAATCAGTCTTCAATTCTAAGTTTTACAACCAATTTCTCCAATTTTTATTTCCACCTCATTCAAGGTAACCTATAGAATACATTTCACTGTTTCCTGGCCAGAGATTTCATCTCTGGTCGGGAGATAAGTTAATACTTCCCACTAAGCTATTTTCAATATCAGTTGCTTACAATCTTTCCTATACTTTCCCCACCACCTTCCCACCCAATACAATTACTATCTGATTCAATAACCAAACTTCAATGGGCTTATAACCTGGAAATACCTTAAAGGTGGGCCCTGCCCACCTCTAACGACGTATCCAACTGATGTATCTCCATAAACCCTAAATGTTATGGGTCATACCATTTACTAGTGTGGTTGTCTCCACCCCTCAGACTGGTCAGTTGCTGTGTTGATCAATGTTGCAGCAGACACAGCCTGGCACAGCACTTCTCAGTTACCACACCTGAAACTAAACACATTCACATTATAACCATGAACATTATACATTTATAGGTAAACATTACCATATAATATACACTAGTAACATTACTGCCTGACTGATATACCCATTAATGTTTAACATAGTAAAGCTATCTTTTTAATAAATATTTCTTTCACAAACCTGATGACTAACAATTTGTTTACATGGAAGTCTATATCTGGATCACGAGGCGCTAGTTCCTTGGATCAAGAGATCTTATTTTTCAATAATGGAAAAAAATCCTGAACTGGATACACCTTTATGAGTTATGTAACGCCTAGTGTGAGTTATTGTTTGATCAGAGGGAGGGGAGTAGCTCCAGTTCCTCGCATCAAAACCCCTCCACTAAGGTCAATCACCCCCCCCTCCAAGACATTAGACCACAAAGAAAATTAAGATTATAAAATATTAATAATTTGGTGACCAAACTGGTGGTATGAACTGCAGCTCAATTCTGCTTTTGTACTGACAAATACGTCACCAGACTATACTTACGTTATTTAGGCGTATTAAAAGATGAAGAAGCGGTAAAGCCGGCGGAAGGGGTGGTGTAGGAGTCCTGAGGAGCAACATATCTCTCCTGTACGACCACTGAAATTCAACTGACCTTTACTGCACTTGAGGTTGGTCACTGTGCTGACCTTCAGTATAACACCATCACCGATAACCTGACTAACTCTGACTACCACCACTAGATGGCACTACTACACCACCACCATCAGTACTGCTCATGGTGGAGCGCTCAACCCGTGGGGGCCATGGACTACCTGGTGAAAACATTAGCTACGTTAAAACTTGGTGTAGATGTATCCTTTAACAAATCCACTATACCACAACTAAATAAGAAATGCAAAGATAGGCTAAATGTTTTCAAAGTTGTTGCTGGTTACAACCCCAACTATGGTGCTCATGTTGCTGGCTACAACCCCAACTACGGTGCTCATGTTGCTGGCTACAACCCCAACTATGGTGCTCATGTGCTGTTACAACCCCACTTGGTGCTCATTTGCTGGTTAAAACTCCAACTATGGTGCTCATGTTGCTGGCTACAACCCCAACTATGGTGCTCATGTTGCTGGCTACAACCCCAACTATGGTGCTCATGTCGCTGGCTACAACCCCAACTATGGTGCTAATATTGTTGGCTACAACCCCAACTATGGTACTCATGTCGCTAGCTACATCCCCAACTATGGTGCTCATGTCGCTGGCTACAACTCCAACTATGGTGCTCATGTCGCTGGCTACAACCCCAACTATGGTGTTAATGTTGTTGGCTACAACCCCAACTATGGTGCTAGTGGTGTTGACTATAACCCCAACTATGGTGCTAATGGTGTTGACTACAACCCCAACTATGGTGCTAATGTTGCTGGCTGCAACCCCAACTATGGTGCTAATATGAGACTCGTGAGAATAATGTACATAGCCTATGTTAGGTCCTTGATTATGCTGCTCCCATGATGATATTAGCTAGAGAAAGTTCTCTCCGACCCTTGGAGTTAATGCAAAATGAAGCTCTCAGAATTACTCTTGGCTGTCCCAAATCTACAAAGGTTCTTAATATGAGGAAGGAGCTTGGTATTTCTAGTATCAGTGATAGGACTGTTGAGATTAACACTGTACTCGGCATTAGAATGTTAAGAAATGAACCAGATACTGTCACCATGAATCTTACCAAGTGTCTAGAAGTAAATACACACAGATCTAAATGGATTGTGAAAACATGCAGTTACATTAAGTTTTATAACCTGCATGAACTGTATCACTGTAGACAACAAGAGCATTTCACCCCTCCATGGAAGATGTCTTCATTTAATATCATATACTTGCAAACCCCTCCCAAGAAGCTCATTGCTTCTTGAGAGGGGTTAAAGCAACTGAATTCAACCCCACCAAATGCAAAGTCATGAAGATTGGGGAAGGGCAAAGAAGACCACAGACAGGGTATAGTCTAGGGGGCCAAAGACTGCAATCTCACTCAAGGAAAAAGATCTTGGGGTGAGTATAATACCGAGCACATCTCCTGAGGCGCACATCAACCAGATAACTGCTGCAGTGTATGGGCGTCTGGCAAACCTAAGAATAGCATTCCGATACCTCAATAAGGAAACGTTCAAGACTCTGTACACCATATATGCCAGGCTCATGTTGGAGTATGCAGCACCAATTTGGAACCCACACCTGGTCAACCACGTCAAAAAGCTTAGAGAAAGTGCAAAGGTCTGCAACAAGAATAGTCCCAGAGCTAAGAGGATTGTCCTACGAAGATAGGTTAAGGGAAATCGGCCTGGCGACACTGGAGGACAGGAGGGTCAGGGAAGACATGATAACGACACATAAAATACTGCTAGGAATTGACAAGGTGGACAAAGACAGGATGTTCCAGAGATGGGACACAGAAACAAGGGGTCACCATTGGAAGTTGAAGACTTAAACATAAACATGAGTCAAAGGGATGTTAGGAAGTATTTCTTCAGTCATAGAGTAGTCAGGCCGTGGAATAGCCTAGAAAGTGACGTAGTGGAGGCGGGAACCATACATAGTTTTAAGGCGAGGTATGATAGAGCTCATGGGGCAGGGAGAGAGAGGACCTAGTAGCAATCAGCGAAGAGGCGGGGCCAGGAGCTGTGATCGACCCCCGCAACCACAAATAGGTGAGTACAAACAACCAGTCCTGACAAATACCCTAAACAACACCTCAAGATCAACCTTGATCAACTTATCTATGTCCTGCCTGTGATAACATGGCACTATCTACCTGGTACTTGATTTCAAGCTTCTTTTATAACACCGAGATCCATCACCCTGTGGAGACTTTCAATTATCATCTCAATGATATATAAAATTATCAGTACATATCCACAGACGATTGTTTCCTCCTCTTCCTGACGATTATTATTGTATTTAGCTTTTCAGTTAGTCCATTTATTTGTATTTGTTTTTTAGGCTTATTTAATAAAAGTCGTGTTAAAATTATAACTCGATTCATTTAACCATCTTTTTTTTTATATTGGTTATGTTTTTCCAGAAATATTTTTTAGGGGAAAACTGGACAGGTTTTTTCCTAGACACCAGAGTACTATATATACCCCAAGAGGTACTCGCCTAATCGTGGTTGAAGGGGTCGATTCATAGCACCTGGCCCCGCCTCTTCACTGATCGCTGCTAAGTCCACTCTCTCCCTGCTCCAGGAGCTTTATCATACCTCTTCTTAAAGCTATGCATGGTTCTTGCCTCCACTACATCACTTCTCAGACTTCCACTTACTGACAACTCTGTGACTGAAGAAATACTTCCTGAAAGGAATTAAGGTTCTCTTGACTAGTGGTGTTAAGGTTACCTGCTGTCAGTACCAGTTGACAGGAAGGTAGTCAACTGCCAGTTGACAGGAAGGTAGTCAACTGCCAGTTGACAAGGCAGTGACCTGCCAGTTGACAGGAAGGTAGTGACCTGCCAGTTGACAGGAAGGTAGTGACCTGCCAGTTGACAAGGCAGTGACCTGCCAGTTGACAGGAAGGTAGTGACCTGCCAGTTGACAGGAAGGTAGTGACCTGCCAGTTGACAAGGCAGTGACCTGCCAGTTGACAGGAAGGTAGTGACCTGCCAGTTGACAGGAAGGTAGTGACCTGCCAGTTGACAAGGCAGTGACCTGCCAGTTGACAGGAAGGTAAGTAAGTAAGTAAGTTTATTCAGGTATACACAAATACAGTTACATAGAATTATCATACATAGCAGCATATGTGTAGAGAACCTGGGATAACCCAAAAAAGTCAGTGACTTATTTCCAGGTAGGTGACCAGGTAGTGACCTGCCAGTTGACAACAATGCCAGGGTTGATAGATTGGTCATAAATAATTACACAAGTGTTTAATGGAACACAAGCGTTTAATGGAACACACGTGTTTAATGGAACACACGTGTTTAATGGAAATAAGTCACTTTAACCTTTTTTGGGTTATCCTGTGTAATCTACACTATGTATGATAGTTGTACTTATGTGTACCTGTGACTAAATAAACTTACTTGAGGGAAAAACTAGAGGGCAGTGTGTGTGGGCAGTGTGTGGGGGCGGTGTGGGGGCAGTGTGGGGGCAGTGTGTGTGGGTAGTGAGTGGGGGGAGTGTGTGTGGGTAGTGAGTGGGGGCAGTGTGTGGGGGCAGTGTGTGGGGGCAGTGTGTGGGGCAGTGTGTGTGGGTAGTGTGTGGGGGCAGTGTGTGGGGGCGGTGTGGGGGCGGTGTGGGGGCAGTGTGTGGTGGGTAGTGTGCTGGGGCAGTGTGTGGGGGCAGTGTGTGGGGCAGTGTGTGGGGCAGTGTGTGTGGGCAGTGTGTGTGGGCAGTGTGTGGGGGCAGTGTGGGGGGGCGGTAGGGGGGCAGTGTGTGTGGGTCGTGAGTGGGGCAGTGTGTGGGGGGCATGTGTGGGGCAGTGTTGTGTGGGTAGTGTGTGGGGGCAGTGTGTGGGTAGTGTGTTGGGGCAGTGTGTGGGGCAGTGTGAGGGAACGCGGTGTGACGTCATCACTCTCCTGATGGATGAAGACACTTCTGCACAGTCTTAAATAATAATAATAATAATAATAATAATAATAATAATAATAATATCTTTATTTACTACATACACAAGGTATACAAGCACTGTACATACGTGTCTTTTTCCACTATACAGCTGCAACCTATGTTCTCTTATTTTTTAGTGATAATATTGTTTGAGACTGTATTCCTTACTGTACTGTGTACAACAGTTATTAATTCTCCCTAATATTTTTATACGATGTTTGACCTCATTTGTTCTTGCTGGCTAGTCTGGTCAATTATTATTATTATAATCAAGGGGGAAGCGCTAAACCCGGAGGATTATACAGCGCCTGGGGGGGGATGTGGAAGGCATTCAGGCTTAATTCGGGGAACTGGAGCACAGATCCAATTCCCTAAATCAAGAGCCCCTCACCAGCATCAAGGAACCTTCCTTGAGGGGCTAGTCTGGTCAAGGTAATTTATACTGCATAACTATGGGCTTTCTGCATGGACAAATAAATGTCGCCCATATTTGTACATTGTATCATGCTGATATTCTTCTTCTTATTATTAGACTTCTAGCAAGCGTGTGTGAGCGTGTTAGAAGTGAGTGGAGACAAATGGTTTTTATGACTTGACATGCTGTTGGAGTGTGAGCAAATATTTATGAAGGGATTCAGGTCGGACTTGAGTCCTGGAGGTGGTAAGTTTATTCAGCTATAGGACCATAACATTGTATCAATCGCATCTGCTAGAAAAATGACAGGATGGATAATGAGAACATTCAAAACTAGGGAGGCCAAGCCCATGATGACACTCTTCAGGTCACTTGTTCTATCTAGGCTGGAATATTGCTGCACACTAACAGCACCTTTCAAGGCAGGTGAAATTGCTGACCTAGAAAATGTACAGAGAACCTTCACGGCGTGCATAACGGAGATAAAACACCTCAATTACTGGGAGCGCTTGAGGTTCCTAAACCTGTATTCCCTGGAACGCAGGCAGGAGAGATACATGATTATATACACCTGGAAAATCCTAGAGGGACTAGTACCGAACTTGCACACGAAAATCACTCACTACGAAAGCAAAAGACTTGGCAGACGATGCAACATCCCCCCAATGAAAAGCAGGGGTGTCACTAGCACGTTAAGAGACCATACAATAAGTGTCCGGGGCCCGAGACTGTTCAAC